CTCAGCCAAACAAAAGTGCCCCCTCAATCTTTCAATAACAAGCTTTAAGCCTTGTAATAGCGATGCCATCTTAGCCAAGTTAGTGGAAACCAAATCTTGAGTTTCTTATCTTGTATATTACAAGATATTACACAATATTAAGTTTCTTATATTGAGTTTCCTATTTTGTGGGATTATTATTATGGTGAGATTTGTTCCTTAAAAGGCAAAAATTGTCACTCTATAAATGTCTGGTAAACCAGAGTAATCCCGGTGAATAAGAATCTGGTTTACCCTCCATGGATGTATGCACCATTGCCAAACCACGTATATCTTATTGATCTTGTTGATTCTTCTTCTCTCTCTCTTTCGTTTCTATTTCTTTTTATTATAATTTCTACATGGTATTAAGCATGTGATAAGAATCATACTTGGGACATTGTCAAGCTACCTAAATGGAAGAAAACAGTTGGATGTAGATGGGTTTATAAAATCAAATATAATAGTGATGGGTCTGTTGAGAGACATAAAACCAAGTTGGTAGCCAAAATATTTACCCAAACTTATGGAGGAGCCTATAAAGAGCCTTTTGCACCAATTCCCAAGATGAATATTGTTTGCGTTCTTTGTCTATCGTAGTTAATTATGGGTGGTCTCTGCATTAGTGAATGTTAAAAATACATTCTTACATGGTGACCTGAAAGAAGAAGTCTATATAAATCTTCCTCTAAGTCATTCTAAAGAAAAGGAGAAAGGCCTTGTATGCAGATTAAAGAAGGCTTTGTATGGACTTAAACAATCACCTCGGACATGGTATGCCAAATTCAGCATAGCCTTGATGAGTATTGGGTTTCATAGAAGTTCAAATGATTATTCGATGTTCACAAAAAGGAGAACTTCAAGTACAACAGTTATACTCATTTATGTGGACAATACTATCACTACAGGTAATGATAAATAAAGCATCATGAAACTCAAAAATTATCTTCACAAGAAATTTGACATCAAGGATCTTGGTCAACTAAAGTATTTTCTCGGCATTGAAGTAGCACATTCAAAAAATGGATTATTCATTCCTCAAAGAAAATATGTATTAGATCTGTTGAAAGAAACTAGAAAACTAGAAGTCAAACCCATTGATACCCTTGTTGATATTAATGACAAATTTAATTTAACAAATGGAAAATCTCTTGAAGATGTGGGCCGCTTTCAGAGACTTGTAGGAAGATTAATTTATTTGACTATGATACAACCAGATATAATGTATATGGTTAGTCTTGTGAGTCAATTTATGTATGCTCCTAGATCATATCATATGGAGGTTGTCAATAGAATTCTCATATATCTTAAGTCATCACTCGGCAAAGGTGTTTGGTTGAAACTGAATGGTCACACTAATATTATTGGTTATTCTGATGTTGACTGTGCAGGTTGTCCAATTGGACTACTGGCTATTGTACATTGGTCCGAGGAAACTTAGTTACTTGAAAAAGCAAGAAACAAACTGTAGTTGCTCGATCCAATGCAAAGGCTGAATATAGAGGTATGGCTTCAACTACAAGAGAATTGATGTAGCTAAAACCTGCTTGGAGATATGGGGTTCCCAATAGTCAATCCAATGGAGATGTTTTATGATAATCAAGCAGCTATGCATATAGACTCCAATCCAGTTTTTCACAAAAGAACCAATCACATAGAAGTTGATTGTCACTTTGTGAGAGAAAATGTTCAGTCAAAAATTATTAGTACTATTTATATTTGAAGTGAAGACCAACTTGCAGACATGTTTACCAAAGCTATTGCAAAGGCAAAGTTCCATTAGATACTATCCAAGTTGGGCTCTATTGATATCTATGCACCAACTTGAGCAGGAGTATTGAGAGTTATAGAAACTAAATATTGAGTATTTTTATCTTGTATATTACAAGATATTACGCGATATTATGTTTCTTATATTGAGTTTTTTATTTCTGTAGGATTACTATTGTGGTGAGATTTGTTTCCGAAAAAGCAAGAATTCTAACTCTATAAATTTTTAGTAAGCCAGAGTAATCCCTATGAATGAGAATCTAGTTTACCCTCTGTGGATGTAGACACCATTGCCGAACGACATATATTTTGTTGATCTTGTTGATTCTTTTTCTCTCTGTTTCATGTCTGTTTCTTTTAGTAAAATTTCTACAATGGCTACTCCACACGAGCCCACATAAGCAAGGATTATAGAGCCTTACAGTCCCTAATAACTCCACCAATCGAACTTTCATTCTTGCAGCACTATCCATCACCTCTTCCAATAGCAATTCAAAAGACCAGGGCACCTCCATCTTTTCAAACACCAATTAGTCACAAAATCACTTACCATAACTTCACCTTGGAAATCTTCAACTAACGTCAAACCTCTGCAGTAGCAACCGCAACTCAGCTTCATTAGATGTCATAAACACAATTGGGCCATTATAACTCTTCATTATTACACCATTGGTTTTAGGCCTTCTTTGTATTTCCATATGAACTGTCATCAAAGCTCATCTTGATACACCCGGCTTCTGGTTTCTCCAAGCTTCTGAATTTTCTTTCTTTTGCAACCTAACTGTAAGCATTTCCTTCATATAGTACATCGGTTCATGCCTTCGCAACCCCTAAAATTTGTCTTATAATGCCCATTTTGCAATTACTACTCTAACCTTCTCACATAATTCTTTCACACAAGCACTTATCTTCAACATGTCTTCTATTTCTCTCCTACAAAGTTCCCGTACTACTGCACTTCTAATAATTCTCCACAACACTCTGCCGCCTTCACCTACCTCCCGCACATTCCATTGTTTGAATAACTCCATAATTTGCATAGGAAGACTCGATTTCAATTCTAGTTCACTAAATATCAAAACCACATTTTCTTTGTAAAAAAGAACACTGTATAAACACGGGATTCGTTGTTTCTTCATCTACCATACATGGAATACAAACATCGTTAATTATTTTACTCTTTTCCTTATAACATCATTGGTAAGCAGCTTCTTTAAATACATCAAGCAAACAAAGCATCTCACCTTAAAGGGAATAGGCAGCTTCCAAACACAAGATAGTCTAGGCTGGCCCCAGCTCCTCCTCCAGATCGTTGAACAATAATGTAAGTTGAAGACAGTGAATAAGCCTTTCGTACTTATCTCTCATATCACCCTCTCTTCATTTCTAGGAAAATAGTAATGTGATTGTATTAACTGTAAACACCTCACATCTTGATCAAACACCACTTCAGATCATCTATTATAACGGCATCGATTATGCCCTGCAGATTCTCCAAAGCCACAAACCATCTCTTTAATGTTCTACTTGGGACCTGTACTCACTCCTCCAACCGAAAGTGGGGATATGTTTCATTCCAACTAGCACAGATGTTCTAGTTGGAATGATTTTTTCTAGCTTTTTTAGTTCAATCCTTTTCCTTTTTTTTTTACAATATTCTTGCCTTTATTTATCAAGAAATATTACAAAGCTATTACAAGGACAAAAAATTATTCAAATCAACACCGACGATCAAATTCGGTAGAGAAACACCCCTCTTACGAAGCCCATCTACAATGTCATTAGCTTCTCTATAGACGTGTAAAGAGGATCAACAAAGTAAAGCACAAGTCTATAATCTCCACCCAGGCGGATCTAGGAAACCAAAGTACTTTTGTTTCCTTTTCCTTCTTACACCAATTCATTGCATTGAATAAATCTCCCTCCACCACCTACTTTGAAACTGCCTCTCCTTGAAGATTTTCAATCCCTACAAAAGCGAATATTCTGCACGATTTGCTGAAACACATCTACAAGGCCAAGAATAACAAACTATGAATGGGTACATGAAAAGAGTGCTTGGCCCCCACTTCCCGCTCTCCCTCATTCATTTACAAGCTGATTGATGAAATCAAAGTGCAATGGTTGAGATTCACCACCATGTTACATGAGCCAGATGATAAGTGCCAAGCAAGGTTTAAAAAACGTAGATCAGTGACCCGGATCGTCTATTCGAAAAATCAATCTGGTTCGGCAGATCATTGGTCCAAGATTGCTGATCCAGCCCACTGAACCGGGCAATACTAGTTAATAAAATTTTGAGAACAAAAAAAAATTGAAAAATAAAAAATTAGAGATTGGTTAGAACCAGCCAGTTCATAGAGAGGGGACCGACCAATTCACAATATTTTGTTGGAATTTGGCAGGTCGCTCCAGTTCTTGACTTGGACCAGCAGGTTCCGATGGTTCTTCATATTTGGCGTGTACTACTCATACACCATCTATTCTTCATCGGCCCAATGCCTAAATTACAAATATCTGGGTTTTTAGCACGGTAAGATTTTATGCCCAATGCCTAAATTACAAAGATCTGGGTTTTTAGCACGGTAAGGTTTTATGCCCAGTGCCTAAATTAACAAGATTTGGATTGCTGGGCAAAAGTGTTGGCACGACTGTTTTAGCATGACATCGCACCTCAAAGACTACCGGAGATGGATCAAGATCGAAAAATTTGATTTTCACATCCAGGCACAAATTAAAAATAAAAAATAAATAAATACAGTAATTTGGAGCCCCAAAAATAGCCCACCTTGCGCTTTTGTTTCTAAACCATCCATTTTTAATTGTTTCTTAGATTCTGTTGATTCACCATTTTTAGAGAAAATTCAACATTTGGTTGCGTAAATGGATATACAGGTGATCCGGAGGTGTTTTGGGTCCTCAGTCCATCTTCCAAATAGAATTTTAGAGGACTTTCGTGCCCTCACATCATCTCTAAGTCCACCTTGCACCAAATCATTTACCTAATTAATAAATTACCCTTGACTCATTAGCAATTGAAAAGCATTTTGTGAGTGTCATCAGCAAGCACCCTAAATAATTCACAGGCAGCAACAAGGAGAAAAAACAAGTAAATATCTCAGCTCGAAAGGCAGTCTCTCATCTTGGTTTTCAATATGAATAACTTTAAAGAGATGGGATACATAGTGGATGATAAATTACGAGCCTGGTCATAGCTGAAAACTCTTATGTTAAAGGGATCAGGGAACCAAGTTACATATCCAAAACAACAGTGCTAAAATGCATCATAATAACAACATTTGTCGAGTTCCACACCTCGTTGACTAACCTTAAGGGGTCACTGTGGTATTCGGCTCAATCCAAGGCTCTCCAAAAGCAGAAAACGCGAATACCAGAAAAACAAAAAGAAAAAAAAAAAACAAGATTCATCAACTTGAACAAAAAAAAGGAAAAAAACGTCAATTCTTATCATTGACAACTATGAATTAGAGGGACTATGGAAACATCCATAGTATTAAAACTCAGTAACTGTTCTACTTTGACATCGTCACTTTACGTTCACTTATTCTATGAATAAAGGGCAAATTCACAAAGGGAATATGGCATATAAATATTTCTATCTTTATTGCAAGGTACCATCCAAGTCTATCAAATGTTTATTATGGAGATTTGATATTGAATCTGCTATTACTCGTGCACTGGTCTTCATATACCCACCTGAAATATTGACTAGAGTCAAAACTCTAGTCTTGTGATCACAAAGATACTAGAAGAACAAGGTAGTGGGAGAGAGGATTTTAATAGAACTGACCTGAAGTAACCATGACAAGTGGTACTCTCTTTTCTTGTGCAAAACAAAACACCTTTTCATCCCGGATAATAACGCCCTGTGGGCTAACCTGCAAATGGGGTATTTCATTAGTAGGATGTAAAATAAGGTAAAATATCACTTAAATTTTCGAACCACCTCAAAAAATTACTGCAGTGGTAAATCAATCATTCTATTTCCAAGGTGGTTACTTTTAAAAGACTATTTTTCTTGAATACTCTAATTATTTCATTAAAAAAAAAAATGCCCCTATATAGGGTGGTTTGGATTCAAAACAAATTAGAGTGCTTTTGACCCCACCTAAGTGACTTGAGCTAAATAACATAAACATCCCAACTTGTTTGCGTTCCCAACCTAAACATGGTTTTTTTCACTGAAGTGTCTGGTTCATTTCTTAAAACCTAAAAAGCATAAAATATTTATGCCATTTGACTCAATGTAAGAGGCTTAAGACAAATAATAAAACTATCATCGCTTGTTTCGAGTTCCAGACCCATAACATATGTCTGTTTAAATAAAACCTCTTGTTCCAAGTTCATAATCTACAAGAAGCAGGGGCATTTTGGTGATTTGGACCAACTATATCATGGGCCAAATTACCAGAACAGCCTTGCTCATTCAAGATTCGAAACCAAAAAAAGGGCATTTTGGACCCTTTTTTTTTACAATTTTTGAGGCACTTCAATGAATAATCTTATCATAGTAATTGCTGCATTGAAAAGTTTGTTAATTTGACAACATAGGTGATTTCTTGAGATCATTTGACCATTTTAAAGATATGTTCCCTAAAATTTTAATATAACTATGAAAAAAAATGCCTTAGGCTTTGAACTAGTAGCTCAACTGATTTGTATAAGGTCAATGGAAACACATAAAATTTTTCCCAGAAACAAACCAAGGTGACCTACCTTCTTTCTTTTATGTAACACACATTGTGTATGTGCTACCACTCGCCAACTCGGCCGGTTTAACTCGGAACTGGACGGTCAAGCCAGAGCTGGGCACTAGCTGATCTGATTTTGGCCTCTTTTGATGGACTGGCGGGGTATTTTAAAAAATTAAAAAAAAACATTTCTATAAAATCACCAAAAAATATGGGTTTTATTTGTATTGCATTTTTTTAATGTTTTTTTATCATTTTGGCAAAGATTGGAAAGTATTTTGGCCATGAATATTTATTTTTACATTTTCCCATCTTTTTAGAAAATTTCAAAAAATACCTGTAGGTACAAATCAATTTTTTTAAAATACATTCTTTTTCACTATTTTTCAACTTCATTTGGATGGGCTTTGCTTAATCATGCTTTAAATATGGTTTTCATATTTTTTTAGATTTTTTTTGTATTTTTTAATTTTTTTTAACACTTTTTTGACCGACAGGGACCAGCCCGGTTAGGCCGGTTGAACAGGCCAGTTTACTTATTACTCGGAACCAGCCCTTGGCCGATTTTCATGGCCAGTTCGATATTTCAAACGCTGGCATGTGCACACAAATATATGATCATCAATACCACCCATCCAAACAACTGACTCAATCTTCCATTCAAGGTTTGCAATTTCTCTTTCAAGCAAAAGAAATTTGTCCATTGCCAAGATGGATGGAGGAGATGCTCATTTGCTATAAAATGTACTTCCCCATCCCAGAATATCTCAAACTTCATCATTGGATGCCTGTTTGTGCCTCAACATTAGGATACCCATGTACTATGGGATCCCATATCTCAAATATTGATGGACAAGAAAACATGAAGAATCTAGATGGATGACATTAATAAAGAAAAACAAATTACTGGGGTCCACTGAAGAGTCTAGATGGATGACATAAAATTACAGGGGTCCTAGAAATAAACAAAGAATAAAGGAACTTACTATATAAATTATGAATATGGAAATTTAAATTGACTAACGCGTGTTGGACCTATGGCAACATTTAGCATGAAGTGCATCCTAGAACTAATGGGAAAGAATCATATTCAGGAATTATAGGAGGCAAGAAGTGGCTAAGATTGCCCAAATCTCCTACCTCTAGGTTTACCATGAATAGGAAATGAGACAGAATACTCAAAATATGAAGTTAGTTTTTTTCGAACTTCAGAAAATACTGAATATAAACATTAAGGCGACTCGCAAGCATATGAATAAATACATAACGAACCTCGTAAAGGACACACATGATGAGGAAATGCTCAGACAGCAAGCTTGGATGTGTACCAAATAGAAGTACAATATCACTCATGGCTATCACAGCTTGGTCAAGAAGACCCCAACACACAAAAGCTTGCAAGAACTCATAGAGCAGTATAATCCGTGATAGGCAAAAGAGTCAGGAAAGCACCATGTATCTTCAATTCTCAAAGTCCAAGTGACAGAATGGAAAAAGCCCAAAAATATCTCAACTCTTAACCCTATGGTTAACATGACAAATTATTCAGAGAGATTCGTCTATGCTTTTCGGAGAAACTGAATTTCTCTTATTTAGACGGTAAGCTTGGATTTAATCTTGGAGTGGAGAAGCACTAGTAAGAAACATATCAAATTATGACTGTCCTCAATAGTCCCTAGGTGACCATACCAAAACTACAAGTACTCTCAACATTCCTGTTTGAACCTAAAATCTAAGAAGACTGTAGCACGATAAGAATTACAAGAAATCTTTTCGAATTTCTTAGGAGACATCCAAGAGATGGTTCAAATTGACATCTTGTTTGCGAAAAATGAAGATTTGATTGCATCCTGTGAAGCAGTGCACCATGCGAATAGCCAACATATTGAGGGGGGTTAATTTTTAAAAATGCCTCTACTAACATCCAACAGTTCCAGCTCAAGTTTCATTAGAGTTGCGATAGTATGTATATGAAAGTACACATGTATGTAAGTATGAACATATATGTATGTATGTATGTATGTATGTATATGTATTCATGTACGTACGTGTGTATGTATATATGTTTCCATGTATGTACCCATTAAGCCACCTAAGAATCATAGGACCAAATATTACATATAACTCGATTAGACAAAAGATACCTTCAATCTGCCCAAGGGATCACCATCTAGGATGTCAGTTCCTGCATTGTATATAACCAACTCTGGATCAAATGCAGATTGGGCGACCTGAAAATTTATGGGAAAATTATAAAGGACATTGAGAAGGTTATCAATATGGGATGATAATGCTTGCCATCTTCTTCTGTGAGCATTATTTGTAATAGCAAAGTCAAAGAGAACAGGAAATGGAAATAACTTTCTATAGGAGATTACAAAAATCAACTAGGTGTTCCCTTTATGGACAAAATGACGAAATCATTCATTGACATCTACTTAGAGTGAAGCACCCTCATGAGTCAAACTTAACAGCGTTGCAATGTTCCAACTGTTTGTTTTTGTCAGTAAAAATACAACCATATTCTTGTGGTTAAAGCCCTTTGACCAAAGAGTCGTTCCCTCTTGCACATAAGAAAGAAAAAGCCCTTCTGAATTCACAAAGTTTAGTTTAACCAAATAAACGTTCCATTTGTATCCTTTTCCTTTTATGAAAATCCAAATAAGTACAGCACACTATGTTTCATTCCACTTTGGTCCCATATTTAAGTAAATTTTGGTTCTTTCAGCTAAAAATTCCAAAACATTCTTAAAAAAATTAAAGATTGATTAAACTTACAATACTCTTTTTTGGCTAAAAATATATTGTTATAAAATAAATATAAGTATTTTCCATGGAAATTACTAACATATCTTCCATTCATTTTATTATAGAGAAACCTATTGGCAAGTGCATTATTAGCACCAATGATGTGTCGTTCAACTAGAACCTTCACTTAGTATGTTTACTATAAGGTTGATCTAGTTGCTTCATATTTAATTTTGAGGATGTTGCACAAAAAATCGGTAATAAAAGACAAAAATAACATACATTTTTCTACTATTCATAAATTGTCAGTACACAAATGACATACATTTTTCTAGTATTCTCTCCCTGGGGTCCAGGATTGCCCTAAAAAAGCTACCTTACAAACATGCTTATCTATTTCATACCCCTATTACAGATGTCTAGCTCTGTGGCATCTGTGGTCATGCAGTAGTTAGAGCATAAATTCCACCTAAGTTCTTGGGATAAGTGTGTAGACCAAGGCAGCATGGGGGCCAGGCATCAGGAGACTGCAAGACTTTAATCCTGTTGGGAAAATGGTGATGGAAATTTCCAGTGAGTAATGTACACCTTTGGAGGAGTTTCATTTATGGAAAATAAGGCATCGAAGAAGGGGGCTGGTTCCCCAATTTCCTTGGCCCTTTTGTCTCTGGGGCCTGGACCAGTACAGCCAAGAGTAGATCCCATTTCATAACATGGTTAAGGTTCAAAGTGTTCAGGGAAATAGAGTCAAGCTCTGGAAATACACTATATAGGAAATCAAAATCTAGCCAAATGTTTCCCCTCCCTTCTCTCCATGGCTACAAACGGGGATAGCCTAGTATCAGACAATGTTGATCGAATGAGTTTTTCTATTGTTAGGGCCCCTGTTTTTAGGACTCACTGAAAATGAAAATGCCCACCTAGCCATTCCTTTTAGAGCTACTCCATGGTCTCTTCCTCACCCTAGAAGGAGACAACTTCCTTGTATAGAGCCCAGTGCTTAACGGGATCTTTATGGTGTCTTCTCCCAATGGCATAGACCTCCTTTGAACCCTATCTTTAAGATGATTTGGTCCGCTCCCATTCCCCCTAGGATTCAGAGACCTTCGCCTGGAATTGGGCCCAAAGGAGGGTTTTAACCAGTGACCAGCTCCGAAAGAGGGTTACCACTTGCAAAAAAATGCAATGTTATGCGCTTGCCAGATGAAGAGACAGCGGACCATCTCTTCCTCCACAATCAGGCTACCACAACTCCATGGTCCGAACTCCATCTTTTTGGTTTGTTTTGGGTAACTCCACAGACCATCCAGTGGCTGTTCACGACTTTCCTTTCCCTTCCCCTTCAAAAACTAGGCAGAATCTTTGGATGGCCTTGGTTTTTGCCTTGTTATGGGTTGCTTGGAAAGAAAGAAATGCCACATCTTTCAAGCACGCAGTCCCACACACCATTTGGGACAATATCAAAACTGTCTTTTGTTTTTGGTATAAGAGATTGGCATTGTGTGGCATTCTAGGCTCCTCTAATTTCCTGTCAAATTGGGGGAACATCCATCACTTCTCCCCGAGGCCTCCACCCCGCCGAGCCATTTAGATCCCCCTACCCCATCAGGGGACCCTCAAACTCAATGTCGACGGACACTCCCTCGGAAACCCTGATCCCTCAGGTTTTGGGGGTAGCCTCACTGACCATGTCTTCAAGAATCTACCCTTCTTAGGCTTCGTTGCGTACACTAACTCCACCATGATTGAAACAATAGCTATCCTAGAAGGCCTCAAATGCACCCTTGGGGTCTTCTGCAATGTAGAAAGCTTAATAGTGGAAAGAGACTCACGAAATGTGATATCATGGGCTGCAAATCAAGCCCCAACACCTTGCAGATTGGCACCCCTCTTCGAGCATATATCTCTTCTTTGCAGGGCAACCTAGGTAAACTTCAACCACATTCTGAGGGAAGTAAAAACCAATGCTGACAGAGCGGCCAAGGAAGGAGCAGCTGCAGGACCATCGCCTTCACTTTTACAGCCTTGAGGTCTAGTCATGGTCTTCCTTATTTCTTTCTCCTATCTGGACCTCCCGTACTTTCATATTTTTTGGCTCAGACCACCACTTGAGGATTGTTTCCTCATAGTTATTGTTATTTCCTTGTCAAAACGTTTCTGTATAAAGCAGCCATCCTTGTGCGTTGCCATATATTTTCTTTTTTTATTGTTTTCCTTTTCTACACCCCTTTTTTTATAGAGCAACCGGTCTTGTGGGTTGCCATATTGGGGTTTTTGTCTCAACTTTCTACTTATTAATACAGTCAACCTTCTCTCAAAAAGCCAAAGAGAGAGAGAGAGAGAGAGAGAGAGAGAGAGAGAGAGAGAGAGTAGTACGTACTTACTTGTTAGTAGTAAGTAACGTCGTCGTACTTAATTTATTACTTCTACGACGACTAATAATAATACGACTAGTACGTAACCGTAACGAACGTACTAC